CCGCTGCTTTAGTTCATAGATGTCCTATTTTTAATTATTAGGTTAAGTGTGCCTGCTTTTTAATTTGTGTTTGCACCAAATTTCCTACATTATGGTACACATTAATATGTTTTGTCTTTTCATGGTGCACTGGGTTTAGACCAAAGTTAGTAAAGCTAAAAGTACATGTTGGAGGGGGGCAAATGAAACCTTTCAGTTAATGGAAATAAAAAATAAAACCAGACTTGCATGTAGGAAATTTCTCAATCTTTCACCCGCCTTGCAGCTCCGGCCTCATTTCTCTGTCCTTGCCCTCGTGCTACCTCCACAGATAGTTTCTATTACAGTCTGTTTTCCACTTCTTCTTGACCTCTGTTTTCTGCTTGAAGTTGATTTATTGCGGACTTCACATGCTGCTGTTCTCAGGAGCCCAGGTGTTTTTCATGTCTGTCAGTGTGTGAATAAGAAAAGAGACATCAAAAAAGAAAGCATGTCAAAAGAAATACGGAGAAGTAGTGAGGAGGAGAGGAGGACGTGATGTTTGCAGCGAGTCCTTGGCTGCAGTTTGGCCTTGCGCTGTTTGGAGGAAGGCTGCTGGCGCATGAGCAGCGTCTCTTCGCGGCACTGCTTTTTATTTCTCAGTAGTTTCAGTGGAAAGGTCAAACTGTTGTGCCTTTCTGACAGCGCTGAGCCTCTCAGTCTGAGAATTCAGCTTGATTATAGTGGTCAGATGATGAAAATAAACCAAAATATTTCAGCTCTTAGTGAAAGGGCGCCACGCTCACACAGATTTACTGTAATTGCATAGTAGAAGCGGCAGCAGCAGCCGGGGCCAGCACCATTTTGAAGAAAGACAGAGGATCGAAGAAGAATGTGATGTGAGCGTGACAGCCAGCGTGAACTGATCAAACCCGCAAAGCTTAGCAACGAAGAGACAGAGGTGGAACGCTTCTGAAAGAAAAAACGATGTTAACGTGACGTTAACCTTTTATTTCAAGCACTTCACACTTTATGTGCTCTGCACTGTCTACTATACTTACACTGATATTTACTGAGCTGTTTTTACTACATTTAGTACCACATTTACTGCATTTTGATCTGTATTTGTGCTTTTGTTGTGTAGTTGAAATTGTTTTAGTTTTTTTTTTTATTGCATTTTACTCCAGATTAACTTTTACCTTTGTTTTTTCATATTTTATTAGATTTTGTATACATGTTCCTGATCGGTTTTGCTTTGTCAACCTCACCTGGTTGAAAAGGCAACCCACCAGTCCCTTCATTTCCCTTCACTTTCCTGTCAAATAAAGACTTAAAATGCCCCAAATAAATCAATAAATAAACCACTAGAGAATATAACAAATGATCAGTTTTCAAACATGGTATCCCAATTATTAATATATCATATATTCCAGTATTATCTACATTTTTCAAAGTATTAAGTAATAGAGTTACATAACCATTAACAACATTTGTGTGCTTTTGTCGATGAATTTCATTTGGCACATATTACTTTGGGGCTAAATTGAGTTTTAAATGCAGAACCTGGCCAAAAATCAATATAATTAACACACACAAAAAACAGCTTTTGTATGTTCAGAGAGCATTTCTGTCCTCCATTGCTTTCTCCCTTTATATCCACATACTCCCCACCTCCCTCCTTCTTTATCCCATCAGCCCTATTATCTCCTTGCGCCCTCTTCTACTCATCTACCCCTCAGTCCTGCTTTAACTGGCAATAAAGGCGCAGGAATCTCTCCTGACATTTTGGTGCACACTACCAGCAGACACGGTGGGAGAATAACACGACCTCACATGTAGTTAAAGATTTGCAGCGGATGGTAGGCTTCAAAGATGTGCACATTCAGCACTCTTGCCTTTACGCTCTCCCTTTTCACAGTTTCACTTACCAGCTTTCCTGGTTTTACATTTATTACTGTCAGCCTGCAGTCAGCTCAGACACACTGAGCTCTCCGTGTGTGTGTGTGTGTGTGTGTGTGTGTGTGTGTGTGTGTGTGTGTGTGTGTGTGTGTGTGTGT